TGACTGCTGCAGCTTCAGGAGCGCTGGTAACGGCCTCCTTGTCGTGGCGGCGCGTTGATGGACCTTTTGCTCCTTTTTCCTTTTTTGCAATGTCGTTTTTAGCCGATGCAGATGCCGCAGGTTGTGTAGTTTCGGCGGCGATCGCGCTAGCGGGGTGCTGCTGTAACAGGGACAGGAGGGCCTTGACTTGGTCCGGGGTCAACGCCTCGGTCAAGGCCTGGTCAGCCGTCGCGTCAGACGAGGCAGCCGTACGGCGCCTCTGGCGCTGACGCGACGGCCGGCCGGAGGCGTGTGCCGCTGGCGCGTGCTCCGCGTCCGCGGCGTGTGTCGCCACGTTCGCCACTGGCGCCACAGGCGCCACTGGCGCCACAGGTGCCACTGGCGCCACAGGCGCCGAAGGGTGCTGGGGGTGCTGCTCGGCGTTTTTGTTGACTTCGAGCCCGCCCAACAGCACGTCCACGGCGGTCGGGGCGGATGTTTCGCCGTCTGCCCGGCGCTTGTTGCGACGCTCGCCCGTCGTTTCACGGGCATTACGGTCGTTGTCGGAAATTATCGGGTCGTCGGCAACGATGTTGTTAGCACGGTTAAGCGTCGGCGTCGCAGCCATCGTTGAGCGGTTTTGGTTAAGGATGTCGGCTAATAAAGTTGAAGGAGAAACGCCTCTAGGTAATGAGCGAGTCCTCGCCAGCTTGAACGGTAAAACTAGAAGTGAGCTCGAGAAAATGGAGTTGCATGAGCCGTTGGAAAACGAGAGACGTGGGTGGAGGGAAATGAGCTCCAACCCACGATTTGTAGTTGGAGAAGGGCGTTTAGCGCGCTTCGACGATGCCAAAACATGCGTTACAAGCAGCTGCGCTTTCGAAATACGTAATTTTGAAAAACACTTCGTGTGTTTAAAAATTATAATTTTTCTGCAGCTGTATGCACACCACCTTTAGGGTCGGCCACTGTATCCGGAAATCTGGGGATGACACCCCTCCATTTTCGCATGCCCTTTCTGAAGTGAGCATGCCTTTCTGAAGTGGGCATGCCGGTATGAAGCTCAGTGCACCTGTCTGTATTATCAATCGCAGCAACAGGATTAACTGATTCGCATTCACGCAACACATCTGCACAAGCCTTTGCCCCACGGATCTAATCCCCATGCTGACGAGGTGTGGAGAGGCGATGCAAGGGTGTGCATTCCGTTACTCTGGCTACAGTGCAGGCTTTGGGTGGCTGCAATGCAAGGTGTCTCAGTGCTTGCTTGCTTGCTGTCCCAGGAGATAAGGCAGTGAGAGGTTGAGAGGGATGTGATGGTGAGTGAGAGGGATGTGATGGTGAGAGGGATGTAATGGTAACGGTCATGGAGGGCTGAGCTGCTCTGAGAAGGCTGCTCCCATGTGTGGGCTTGTGAGCTCCGTGTCCGCAAACATGGACCCATCCTGCCCACCCCGCAGCACCGCACAGCAGAGCACCGCACCGCACCGCACAGCACAGCACAGCACAACACAGTACAACACAGAGGGGAGGGAATGGAAGAACAGGAAACACGCATTAGAAAACGAAGGGGTGTAGTGACTGCGAGCAGTGGGCAGGAAGGGACAGTGATGAGCTGGTACAAAGGCGCCTAGGGGAGGGAGAGGCAAGACAGGGCCTGAGATGGAAGCGGTCAGGTTGTTGACAGCAAGAGGACTTTCAGTGTCTTGGAGAAACCACAACTCGGAGACAGACAAACAGGCGCAGGAGCGAAAGCCGGTGGACGGGAAGCAAGGGCGAAGATGCACAAGAGGTTGAGGAGCATTTACACGTAATTAGTAAAACCTGCAAGGCAGCAGGACACAGGGCAACAGGGCCCAGGGCAGCAGGGCAGCAGGGCAGCAGGGCAGCAGTGCAGCAGTGCAGCAGTGCAGCAGGGCAGCAGGGCAGCAGGGCAGCAGGGCAGTAGTCGCTCACCTGCGGCCATATTAGGTGGATGAGGTCCTCTGTGTTGCCGCTTGCTGCACGCCCCCCCCCACCCATCACCATCCCCATCGCTTCCATCTCTCCCCCTCGCGAACCAACCAGCCCCACACTCTCCGAAACCAGTGCACCTCCTCCCAGTAGCCTCTGCTGCTGCTCTTGCTGCTCCAAGCTGCTCTGCAAACCCAAGCTCTCCACTTGCCCCTCTCCGTTCCCCTCGCCTCCCCTTCCTCCTCCCCCTCCACACATCATGTCCATTTCCCAGTCTCCAGTCAACCATGCGTCAGACACTGCCATTCCTATTCCACCCATCACTTCCATGTCACCCTCCGCTCGCCCTGCTGCAGCAGCTGCTCCTGCTGCTGCTGCTGCTGCTGCTACACCTGCTGCTCCCACTCCCATTCCCCCTTTTGCTTCATCTACTGCTGCTGCAGCTCCTGTGATTTCACCAAACTCATCAGCAGCAGCAACAACATCCACACCTTCAGCAGCAGCAGCAGCAGCAGCTAACCCACCAGTGGCACTGTCAGTGAGAGCAGCAGACGCTGCTGCTGCTCCTCCCCTCTCCATCATCACACCACCCATCTGTTCCCCCCCACCCACCTCCTCCTCCATTTTAACCTTCAAGCTCTCACCCCCTCCTTCTCCTCCTCCCTCTCCTCCCGTCCCCCCTCCTCCTCCTCCTTCTCCCCATTCGTCTCCTCTCCCCATCCCCGCTCCACTGCCCCCCCTGCCTGCACCACTCTCGCCCCCTTCTGGCCTGGGGCCATGCATGGAACTCTGCTCAGAGACAGCGGGCTCTCTGCACATGCCTCCTGCACCACCCATGCCCTCCGTGCCCTCTCCATAAGACCGCATACCACCTGAAACACTCTCCTGCTCGACCCCCATCCACTGCTGCCCCTCCTCCCCGCCCATCCCCCCCCTCCTCTCATTCGAAACCCTCCGCCTTAGCTGCTGCTGCAGCAGATGCTGCTGCTGCTGCGGCGGTTGTTGCTGCTGCGGCTTGTTTGGAAACGAGTGCTGCTGGGAGTGGGAGGCAGAGGGAGCGCCGCCAGAGGAGTTGGCAGCAGCAGTGCCCATGCGAGCACGGCACAGAGCCATGAATTGTTCATCTGTGAGGGAATGAGCCAACCGCTCTAGATCCCCTTCCACCTCCTCCTCTTTCACTGCATTCCTCACTGCACCCGTCACACTGCTCGGCCCTCCACCAACACCACCGCCACCACCCCCGCCCCCGCCACCGCCACTGCCACCATTTCCACCGCCACCAGCAGCAGCAACAAGCCTACCAATCCCTCCATGGTTCTGCCCCTGCTGGCCTTTCCCCTGCTGCTGCTGCTGCTGCTGCTGCTGCTGCTGCTGCTGCTGCTGCTGCTGCTGCTGCTGCTGCTGCAACTGTTGCTGCTGCTGCTGCTGCTGCTGCTGCTGTTGCTGCAACTGTTGCTGCTGCTGCTGTTGCTGTTGCTGCTGTTGCTTCTGCTGCTGCTGCTTCTGCCGTTGCTGCTGCTGCAGCCGCTGCTGCTGCTGCTGCTGCTGCTGCAGTTTCTGCAGCTGCTGCCTTTGCCGCTGCTGCTGCTCCTGGTGAGCCCGAAGCTGCGCCTGAAGCTGCTCCTTCTGCCTCCTCATCTCCACCTCCTGCTGCTGTGCTGCCCCTGGCTTCTCCCGCCCCTGCTGCTGCTGCTGCTTCAGGAACTGCAGAAGCAAGTCGTTGTTGCTATCGGGGGTGCTGGTTGAAGAGCCTCCACCCCCACCCGCACCACTGCTACCACCACCACCGCCGCCGCCGCCACCACCACCGCTGCCACCGGTGTTGCCGCCACCACCACCGCCGCCTCCACCACCACCACCGCCGCCACCACCACCACCACCACCACCACCACCAAAACCGCCAGAGCCAGTACCAACAGTACCAGTAGCTGCTGCAGCTGCTGCTACAGCTCTGGCAGTGGCAGGGTGGGGAGAAGAACCTGAGTCTCCTGCTGCCCCCTCCCCTGCTGCCATTCCTGCCCCTCCTCTCTCTGTTAGCCCCCCCCCTGATGTTCCCAACCTTCCTGCTGCTCTCAGCTGCTGCTGCTGCTGCAAATAAAGCATCTTCTGCTGCTGCTGTTGCTGCTGCTGCTTTTGCAGCTGCTGCAGAACCAGGGGGAGATTTTCCGGGTCGAATCCCGGCTGAGAGAGAATACCCGCAATGCTGATGCTACCGTCTGGCAGAAACACGCTCGACAGAGCACCACCGCTCCCCACTCCTCCTGACTCCACCATAGCACCCGCTGCGCCAGCTCTCGTTGCGACACCGCCACCAGCAGCAGCAGAACCAGCTGCAGCGCCAGCAGCAGCTATACCTCCTCCACCTGCCTCTCCTGCAGCAGCAAGCAACTCTCGAATACCAAGGGCAGCAGCTGCTGGATCCATACCTTGCAGTTTAGCCTGTGACAGAAGCTCGGCTGCAGCCAAGGAGTGGCGAGACAGACCAAGCCCTCCTCTGTTGCCACCCCCACCACTCGCTGCCGCCGCCGCTGCTGCTGCTTCCGCTGCTGCAACAGCAGCGATGTGGTTTGACTGAAGCATCTGCAAGCGTGCTTGTAACTGCAGCTGCTGCTGCTGCCGTTGTTGCTGCTGCAGCAGCTGCGGCAATTGGGCTTGTTCCTGCTCTTGTTCCTGCTGCTGCTGCAGCTGCTGCTGCTGTTGAAGCAGCCGCAAGAGGTGCTGCTTCTGTAGCAGCTGCTGCTGCTGTTGCTGCTCGCCTTCAAGCCGTGCCAAAGCAGGGTTGTCAGGGGTTAAGTGTGGAAGAAGAGAAGGATCCACCTGCCCTGCTTGCTGCAAGTGCTGCTGCTGCTGCTGTTGCGAGTATAAGAAGGTGCACACATGCAACGGAAAAGAGGAGGATGTTAGTAGGGAGAACAAAGGCAAAAAGCGAGTGGGAATGGAACGAACGAAAAAGGGACCATCAACATGTGGTGGTGATGCGACCATGAGCCTTAGAGTGTGCGGAAATGCAATGGGTAACACCCAGTACATACACCCAGTCAAATGAAAACTAGCACTAGACAGTAGTACTAGCACGAAGCGTGTGTGCTCAGCACACTTGCCTGTAGCTGCAAGAAGCGGAGTAGAGTGGTCGGCTCCACACCGGCAGCAGTGGCGACAGAGGTGAGGTGCTGCCATGCCATGCCGTACACAGGGGAGGAGGAGCAGGCAGACGAGCAGAGGGCATGCACAGGAGGTTGATCAACGGACTGGATTGCGAGGCGGTTTATTGGTTGAGCAAGGAAAGATGCAGCGGGGCTTGAATAAGTTTTTAGAACTGGTGCTGAAGTGGGGCTAGAGAGGGAGAGAGAAGAAGGGCAGCAAGAGAAGCGAGGGAACGAGAGGGAGGAAGGGAGAGGTGGGGAAGGAGGTAGACGGAGAGAGAGCGGAGGGAGGGGAAAAGAGGGGGGGGGGGGGGCAACCAGAGCAGACAGCCAATCCTTTCAACGCACTGTCTCCTCTAAAAGTTTCAGACCCAAACCAACCTGCAGCTGCTGCTGTAGCCTGCTTCCCTGCCCACCTGCCCCTGCTCCTCCTCCTCCTCCTCCTCCTCCTCCTACTCCTGCTGCTGCTCCAGCTAGCAGCGAATCCAAAGCTGTCACAGCTCCCACCCCACCCCCTCTCCCCCCAATCCCCATGGTTATCCCCCCACCACCTCCTTTCCTTCCACCCCCTCCTGCTCCCCCTGCTGCTGCAGCCGCAGCTGCTCTGCTGCCCTCTGCCAAGCCTCCTCTGCCCAAGCCCACATCTGCTCCTATTCCTGCCCCGCTCTCCACTGCCCCACCCGCCCCGCCTGCCCCACCGCGTGCCATCCTCTGCAGGTGCAGCAGCATTCTCAGCTGACCCAGGTCACCCACACCTTCCCCCACCCCAGCCCCACCAGCACCCAAATCCCCAGCACCAGCAGCAGCGGCAGCAGCAGCCGCAGCAGCGGCGGCGGCAGCAGCAGTAGTGTCAATCCCTCCCAGCCCAGCCCTGTCCCTTGACAGGCCCATGCTTTGCCCTGCTAAGAAAGCAGCTGAGCTTCCGACTCCTCCTTTTCCTCCTCCACCTGCCCCCCCTCCTCTACCCCCCCCTACTCCTCCCCCTCCTCCCCCCCCCTCCTCCCCCCCCCTCCTCCCCCCCCCTCCTCCGCTACCTCCTACACCAACCCCCTCAGTTCCCCTACCACCAAGGGCATCCATTCCGAACCTCACCCCGGGCGAGCCGCCGGACCAAGATCCCATGCCGGGCCTCCCTCCGACGCTATGATCCTGGGCTGCTCGAGTCCTAGCCAATCCCCCCGCCCCTGCCGCTGTCGCTGCTGCAGCTGCCACTGTTGTTCCTGCGGGACCTCCTGTTGCTACAGCTGCTGCACCTGTGAGCGCAGCAGCTGCTGCCTCCACAGACCCATGCTTCTGAATCAGAGACAGCAGCATTGCATTGTCAATACCGCCTAGGAAATCGCTGCTACCATAACCAGCAGCAGCAGCAGCATCACCAGCAGCAGCAGTGTTGTCGTCAGCAGGCGTACCCGCCGCCTTTGCTCTCCTATGCAACAGCTCTGCTTTCTCCTCTGGTGTCTCTCCTGATCGCCCCATCACATCACCTCCTCCCATGCACTCCCTGCCTGCACCACTAGCACCGCCACTCATACACCCACCACCGCCCCCTCTTTCTCCCCCTCCCCCCCCCACCGCATCCAACAGCAGCAACAGCAGCAGCTACAGCAGCAGAACTGCCTCTGTTACCACTTGCAGAGCCCATGCCCAATCGGTGCGCTTCATATGCCTGCCTCTCCCCCATCCCTCCCCGCCCTGTTCCTTCACCATCACCCGTAGACCCTCCACCTCCTCCCCCTCCCCCTCCCCCTCCCCCTTCCCCACCCCCTCCTCCCCCTCCCTCTCCCCCCACCCCCCGCCCTCCCCCACTCGCACTGCCCGGAGCCCCGCCGCTGCTGCCGCTGCCAACAGCGGCAGCAGCGGTAGGAGGGGCGGAGGAGATGGGAGCTGGGGTGGAGGAGAGAGCAGCAGAAGGAGCAGCGGAAATCCCAGATTCCGCCATGCCACTCAGGCGCTTCAGATAAAGGCGGAATTTCTGGGAAGAGGGGGTGTTACGTAGGTGCGTGGGGGGGGATTCGGAGAGGAGGAGGCAGATAAGGGGAGAGAAAACGAGAGGGCGGCAGAGAGAGGAGGGTGGGGATGGCATGAGAGAGAAGGAGAGAAGGAAGCGATGGGGGGCAGTGGAACAGGACAGGGCAGAGAGGGGATGGGGGAGGAGACAGTGTGCATGGGAGAGGGAAGCACACATGGTGAATGGAAAAGGAAGGAGATTATAAGACGCATGCCTCATATTACCACGACCATTTCACTGACTGCCTGAAAAGGAAGGAGATGTGCTTTTCAGACGCGACTGTAATGCTGTGAAAGCTGGTGAAGCAGCTAGTGCCTCGTGGTGCGGTGGCGGCGCGGCAGCGAGGTGCGAGAAGATGTGTTTTAAGTTGACTCACATGGCATCTCAATACTTATTTGCTGCGGTGAAGGCAGGTGGAGGAATGGTGCCTTACAGAAGAATGGAGGACCAGAAGAATGGCATGACATGGCATGACATGGCACGGCAAGGCAGAACAGCTTGGCACGGTATGCTGCATGTGGGAGAGGAGCGGGCTAGCAGAGCAGAGCAGAGCAGAGCAGAGAGCAGCAGTACCTGCAGGTGGCTAGCAACATTCTCCCGTGTGAGGCCCGGCACTCCCATCATCTCCAGTATCTTCTTTGGCACCGCCTCTGCCACACCGCAATGTACCCACAGGGGTTGGGAGAGGGTAGGGGTGAAAGGGTTAGAATGTGACATTGGAAAGGGTTGGAAGGGAAGAGGGGTGAGGAGGGGGGAGTGGGGGGAAGGAAGGGGAAGAGGGACGGAGTAAGTAGGGGGTTGAGGGAGGGGAGAACAAAGAGGGGGTATGGTACAGGGATAATGAGAGGGAGCAGATCGGAGAGGGAGCAGATCAGAGAGGAAGGTGACATTCAAAGCAGCGGGGTGGGTGTGTGATGGGGAGACGATGGAGAGATGGGGAGCAGGCCTTTCAGTGCATGGAACCACACCACCGGCCACGTATGTACGCACAGCACATAGCACCCATTTGTTCCTCCCCATTCTTTCGTTACCCTCCCTCCCTTCTCCCACCAAGTCTCCCTACTTCCCCAACTCCCTCCCCCCTTCTTCCCAAGGAAAAGCAGACAAACCACACCCCAGCAGCGTCCTCCCATTCAGAAGTTCCCAGCTCGCCGCTGCTGTATTGCACTTGCGCACAACACAACACAACAAAGCACCGCACAACACCGCACAGCACTGCTCAGCACCGCACTGCACTCACTGTCAACGCCGAGGTGGTGAACGGCCTTGACAAACTGCTGGTGCAGCTCCACACTCCAGATAATCCGCGCCTTCTTCAACCCCCCCACCATGTCGCTCTCTCCCTCCTCCACCACATACGGCAACCGACCCATATACCCCATTCCCGCACTCAACATGCCGCCTCCACCACCGTCCCCACCACCTTCCCCCTCAACAAGCCCAAGCCCAGCAGCAGCAGCAGCAGCGGCAGCGGCAGCAGCAGTGGCATTTGCAGCGGCACGAAAGTCTGCTTCCCCTGCTGCATTCTCCTCGCCACCTTTCATTCCTTCCCCACCTCCCAACCCCCCCCTCTCTCCTCTTCCTCCACCATACTCCCCCCGTTCCTCCCCAAAAGCATCCTCGACGCTTCTCTTCCCCAACCGCGCGCCTTCATTCCTAGAAGGCGACCGAGGGACTGACGCCCCCTGCCCTGCTCCTCCTCCTCCCCCTCCTGCACCTCCCCCTGCCCCTGTTTCTGCGTCTGGGTGTGTAGACTCCCACTCCCCAAGCCCTCCCCCGCCCCTGCTGCTGCTGGCAGGGTCGTGTGTGCCGTCCCGCATGCGCCTCAGCTCCTCCTCCTCCACACTGCCTGAGTGCTCCTCGCCCTGCACGCACACACAGCAGTGGTACACAGAGCACATGGCACATGGCACACCCACACGCGGCAAGGACACGAGTTGCACGCACAAAGAACACGCAGGGAGGGAGGGAGAGGGGGGTACGGGGGAGAGGGGAGGGGGACACGGGAGTGAATGAGTGTGAGGCAATATGCTGGGGGACAATAACCTCAAATGCTTATCAGATGCATGTTTTTACGGGCAAAATGGGAAGGCAAGAAGAGGGGAGGGACGAAAGAGGAATGCGACAGTAGGGTGCACACAAAGAGGGTCAACAGAGGGACGAGTGATATAAAGAGAGAAAGGAGGCGAGAGGGGATAGAGGGAGGGGAGCAATAGGAGAGAGGAAGGCGAGAAGAGAGAGGGAGAGGGGGGGGGAGGGGAGGGGAGGACGGATAGTCAGACCAGGTGGAAAAAATTGGCAGGGAGAGGGGGAGGGGGGTGCATAAAGATAGAACACGTGTGCGACATGAGCAACATGAGAGAAACCTGTGAGTGACCTGGAAGACCTGAGTGACCTGGAAGACCTGAGTGACCTGGAAGACCTGTGCGACCTGGAAGAACTGTGCGACCTGGAAGAACTGTGCGACCAGAACTTTCCTTGATGTGGTGGGAGGTGCGGCGGCGCACGACGTGCTGCCAGATGTTGCGCAGCTCCTCGATGCGCACGGGCTTTAAGAGGTAGTCCACTGCCCCGTGCGTTATGCCCTTCATCACCACACTCGTCTCCCCGTTCGCACTCATCACTGGGGGAGTGGGGGCGGGGTGGGGGATGGTGGACGGGTGTAGTGGGAGGGGTTGAGGGCGGTGGGAGAGCGGAGGAACAGAAACGGAGGGGCGGTTTGGAAGGGGGGAGGAAGGGAGATTGGGGAGGAAAGGGGAGGAGATGTGTAAGTAGAGTAAGAGGAGGGGGACGAGCGGCGGCTCATGACGTACTGCCAGATACAACACGCACACTACAGCAGCAGCGCGCCTGGCACAACAGTAGCAGGGCAGCAGCAGGGCAGCAGGGCACGCACTGATGACAGGGAGGTCCATCTCAAGGCCGATGCGTTCGAGCAGCTTGAACACATCTCGTCCATGTCGGGCATGTACACGTCGCTGATCACCAGGTCGAACTTGACAGACAGAGAGTGCAAGTGCTTAAGGGAAAGGGAACGCACTGATGACAGGGAGGTCCATCTCAAGGCCGATGCGTTCGAGCAGCTTGAACACATCTCGTCCATGTCGGGCATGCACGCGTCGCTGATCACCAGGTCGAACTTGACAGACAGAGAGTGCAAGTGCTTAAGGGAAAGGGAACGCACTGATGACAGGGAGGTCCATCTCAAGGCCGATGCGTTCGAGCAGCTTGAAGCCGTCCATGTCGGGCATGTACACGTCGCTGATCACCAGGTCGTACGCCTCCCGACCCTCCCTCAGCAGCGCTAATGCTGTCGTCGCCTTGTTGCATGTTGTCACTGGGGGGCGGAGTGAGTGAGGGGGGGGAGAGTGTGGGGAGAGTGTGGGCAGAATGAGGATGGAGTGAGGGCAGGGCATGGGTAAGGTGCACGGTGGGTGTGGGTGCAGCGGGAGAGGGGGGCCAGAGAGGGAGAGGGAGAAGAGGAGGGACCTTCTGTCAACGAGGTGGCAACATGGGTGGATGGACCTATTGAAAAACAAGCATGACAATGAGGAAAAGCATGCTCTTGTGCACACTCAGCAGGAGTGCAGAAGCTGGAAAGGATTGGGGACACAGGTTAGTGGGGCTCGCAGGCAGCAAAGCATGCGGAGTCCAAGCACAGTCCGCAGCAGCAGCAGCAGCAGCAGCAGCAGCAGCAGCAGCAGCAGCAGCAGCGGCGGCGGCGGCGGCGAGGGCAGCAGCAGCAGCGTGAAGACCTTAATAACCCTAAAAGTACTGCTTCATAGGGAGGGGCGGTGGGAGGTGCTGAGGTGGAGAGAGAGGGGGCAAATGGATGCCCCAGGAGTGGGTAAGGATGCCGGAATGGGGTCGGGAAGGGGGAAGAGGAGGGGGGAGCGGGGGGGAAGGCGGGGGAAAGAAGGGGGCTGGGGTGGGTGGGAAAAGGAAGTAGGTGCAGCTGTATCAGGCACCGGGGATAGTTGGTTGGAGGAGGACGAGGAGCGCAGGCAACAGGCACAGGCATGAGCAAGGTGGCACGACGCAGCGGTGCGGCAGGCAGGCAGGCAGGCAGGCAGGCAGGCAGGCAGGCAGGCAGGCAGGCAGGCAGGCAGGCAGGCAGGCAGGCAGGCAGGCAGGCAGGCAGGCAGGCAGGCAGGCAGGCAGGCAGGCAGGCAAGCAGGCAGGCAGGAAGGCAGGCAGGCAGGCAGGCAGCAGCAGCGCACCTTGGTAGTTGCAGCGGCGCAGCATGCGCTCGAGGATCATGAGGCACAGCGGGTCGTCGTCCACCACCAGCACGCGCATGCCCCTGGGGAAGAACGCCGCCGCCGCTGCCGCTGCCCCCGCATTCCCCGACCCCCCCAACCCCCCTGCTCCCCCTCCCCCTCCCCCTCCCCCTGTGGCCTCTTCGTCTGTTCCTGGCTGCATTTCGTGCTGAGTTTGAACTACTCAGGATTCGTTCAGTGCTGCTGTACCCACTCCACACCCTGTGGCTCCGCTGCTGCTGGTTCCCCGCTAGTGCCAGTTTTCAGCTGCTGCTGGTTCCCCGCTCCTCTTCCTGCTGCTGCTGCTGAATTCAATCTGAAAGAAAGCCTACCGCTTCCGCTCCTCCGCCTCCTCCGCCTCCTCCTCCTCCGCCTCCTCCTCCTCCTCCCCCTCCTCCTCCTCGCCCCCTCAGCTCTAGCCGACTTCCTTTAACGAGGACGCTTCAAAGAGGACACTTCGGTGTTAGCTACAGCGGCGACTCAGAGCCGCACGAGTCCTGCGGTGGCAAGGCAAGCGGAAGAGCATATGCGTGCTCGACCTTGAACGACCTCTCTCACGCAACTAGGGACAACGGAAATCGAAAGAATGCACACGGCTCGTTCGTCGCACGGTGCTTGCCGCGAAGGCTGCTTAGAGAACGTCTATTGGTGCGGACACGCCGAACGACCTTCGAACGCTGTTGGTACACAAACCCTAATTTTATTCCTCGACGGTAAATCGAAATGAAAATTTGGCCCTCTACGATGCTGAAATCAACGGCGCCGTCTATCACGCCTACCCTACCCTAGGTCAGCGGTTCAGTGGAGAAAGCGTGAAGTTAGCAAGATCCGACTTTGCATGCAACCTGTGGAAGATATCTGTACAGGCGCTTCTGGAATCATTCTACAGTTAGAAGAACAAGAAACGGGTCCATGGCGTAGCGCAGTGAATGTTAGTCTTGAGGTATTCGTCGAGCCATGAGGCAAGGAGACGAGCATCCGAGCATCATGTGGCCAAGCAGCGGCACCTGGGGCTTATTCTGATTGCAGCGTCGCAGCTTCTACGTGAGACGGAGCATCGAAAGCTAGAAACTTTCGTCAGCCTTTCAAAAGAGTCCTCCTGTTGCTCCTGCAGCGTCGAACTCCAATCACTCATGCTTCTTCCGCCACTCCGTTGTGTGGGAAGTGGCGAGCGAGTGAGGCGTGGCGGACGGTGTGCCTGAATTGTCGTCAATTTAATTAGGTTACGGGAAGCGAAGAAACAGAATGGAGTACAGAACTCAACACGGTGGATTGCCTGCCTCCTGCACTTCACGACACTGAATAGTTCCCCTCTGCAACTTTCCCTCCCAAGTTTCTGCCTTGATTTGGCGTGAATGAGTGCGGTGGGGTATGGTGGTGGGGGTTCGTCTCTTTTGTGTGGTAACAGTGGTCGAATGCTTTGGCAGCGTGGACGGAGGTATGAACAGATTTTTGACAAGGCATTCATGCCACGTCGGGCCGACGGGATGCAGAAGATAGATTCGCGCTCTTGTGAAACTGAACTTTCACGTCAATTATTAGGTGCCGCAATATTCCAGCGATAAACCCTGAAAGTATGACTAGTACGACTTCGAAATTCCAGCGATAGTTCCGCAAAGGAGGTCACTAGCTCCAAAAAAACGCGGGTGTTCACCTTTACACCCTGTTTTGAATAAAATAAATAAGCACAGTTCCGTGCCCGTTCCCGAAGGTTTTATATCTTCACTGCAATACAGAAGTTTGTGACAAAAGTTTATATCTAAACGAATATCTAAACGAATAAACATATTGCTACGATCACCTCCTTCGAATTTGCCATTATTGGAAATGTGGTTCAAGCCGTTCCGTTTCGGTCAGAAAACATAACATATTTTTCAGGGCTTTGCAGGGGAGGCGTGCGCGCAGTTGCAGCAACGTCTTGACCGTCTGCCAGAAATGGATGTAGTGTCTTCAACGAAACAAGGTCGATGTGGACGAAGAACCTCCCATGCCGCCTTCCCCATGCCCCCGCTTCCCGTGCGACACGTATTTCCACACTTTCGCTACGCGGGGGGCCACTGCGAACCACATGAGGGTATGCCGAGCGGCTGAGGCGGAGAGGCGTGCACAGGCTCTCGGCTCGATTCCGTCTCTAGTGGAGACCGACGCGCAGGAGCGATCGACGCCGCGGGAATTTGGGGACGAGGCGTGGGCTGGGGTTACGTCATCGGAATGGGAAATATTTTTCAGTGTGGAGGTGGTTGGAGGGAGGACAGTTCGCCGGATCCCACAGCGGGCTAGGTCGGGGGTCTTAGACGCACTCTGTTGCATCCTTAAGCGCTTGAAGAGCCAGCCGGGAGATGAAGCCGCTACCCTCCTACTCTTGGCGTTTCCACGCCTCATCCTAGCCATGCCTCCCAAGCCAAGCATAGGTCAGAAGGCGCTGATCACAGAGCGGTTGGGTGCGTTCTGGGAGGGGAGGTGGCGGGAGCTGTTCGACTCTGCCATGGCGGCAGCGCGGCCAGCAGTTCGCCCACTTTCCTACACTCGCTCTGACCATGACCCGGATGCCATCCGCCTGTCACGGTGCCGATCTCGGTGCAAAGTGGGGGAGTGGAGCCGATGATTGGCCTGCCTTACAGCAGGGCAGTTGGCTCGACCGTCTGAGGTCATGGTGCAGTCGCTGCGAGAGAAGCACCCGGCTAGCGCAGGCGAGGTACCACAGTGGGTCCGCGATTTCACCATCGATACCGCTCAGCGGCCTTCACTCACGACCGACATCCTGGCCAGAGCTATCCATACAACCGCTCGAGCCTCAGCAGCAGGGCCATCGGGGTGGGTCACAGAGCATCGGCGCGACACCTTCCTCACTGAACCTACCTGCCTCTCCCACCTGTTGGAAGTGTTCAACCAATGGGTGGCGGGACAGGTCCCCGAGCGGGCTCGGCCGTGGCTCGCCGCATCCAACCTAGTCGGGCTTTCCAAGCCTAACGGCGACGTCCGGTCGGTGGCGATCGGGGAGGTGCTTCATCGTATCCTTGCTCGAGCTCTCTGCATCTCGCTCCGCCCTGCGATGGTTTCCTATTTCCTGTCGTGCAACCAGCTGGGAGCGGGCACCAGGGTCGGGGCGGAGATTCTCACTCATTCTTTCCGGTCAGCGTTGGCCACTCACCCCGACTGGTGTGCGCTACAGATAGACGTTGCAAACGCCTTTAATTCGTTTCACCGTCATGTGATGTTCGATGGGCTGCGGGAGTCGCCTTTCTCAGGGATGATCCCGTTCTTACGTGTCTTTTATGGGACACCTAGCGACCTGTACCTCCGAGCGGGCCCTTTCGTACAGAGCCTCGAGTCAGCACGGGGATCGAGGCAGGGGGACCCGCTCGGCCCTTTTCTTTTCGCGTTCACGCAGCAGTAGGTGATGGAGCCGGTTACTAGGGAGTTCAAGGACCTGCTTTTCCTCAGCTATGCAGACGATACCTATATTTTGGGGCCAGCGGCTAGGATTCTGGAGGGTTTTGGGGTGCTGCGGGAGCGGTTGGAGTGGGTAGGGCTGGAGGTGCAGGCGCACAAGTACCGGTTTTGTGAGCGCGAGGGCAAGGAGGTGGAGCGCGCATTGCCATTGGGGATGCAGCGGGTGGATGAGGATCTTACTGTGGTGGGCGTGCCTATTGGAGAGGAGGTTTGGGAGGTGGTCCGGCTACGGGAGCGGCTTCGATGGTTCCAGGCGCCACTGCCATGGCTCCCCTTGCTCGACCACCCCCAGATGGCTTCACACCTCCTCGCCATTGCAATTTCAGCGCGGCCGATGTACCTCACCCGGACTATGCCGCCGCGTCCGGAGGTGGTTGAGGCTTTTAGGGATTGGGACAGCTGTTTAGAGGATTGCTTTGAGCAGCTTTTCCCACCTGGCACTTGGGAGCAGGACCCCGACCGGTCTAGGCGCGCACGCATGCAGCTGCATCTCCCTGTGCGTCTCGGTGGTTTCGGGATCCGGGCGGCGGCCTCTTTGAGCCCACTGTCCTATGTTTGCGGGTGGGCGCAGGCCACGCGGGACATTGCACAGTTAGGGGTGGCGGGTGAGGAGGCGATGTTTGCTGAGTACCTCACCACTTCGACAGGGGCAGAGTTTCTTGACCCGTGGTTTGTCAAGGCTCTCGAGCAGCTGCCAGCGACTATCCACCACGAGATACCGGGCTTACCTCTGTGTGTAGCGGCCCCTCCTGTTCGGCTTTTCCAGGCGCGGCAGCGGCAGTTAGCTGTAGAGGAGCTCCAGGCACTGCGCCGCTTGGCTCGTGACGATGCTACCTTGGCCCGTTTCACATCCCTTCAGGGCCCGGGGGCAGGTGCATGGGTTTCGGCAGTTCCGCCTCACTCAGATCTCACATTCACTGCGGCTGAGTGGGGCATTGCTGCTGCTATACGGCTCGGCCTCCCAATTCAGCAGCTGCAGGTGGCGGGGAGGTGTGTTTGTGGCACAGCGTATGTTGACATTGCAGATCCGCACCATGCCCTCAGATGCAGGCACCAGCATGGTCCTTCTCGGGTGCATGATGAGGTGAAGTTTGCGGTGGCGAAGATCTCTAAGGCGTCGGGGGGGGGGGGTGGTGACATTGGAGGATAGTGTGGTGCTGCAAGGGAAGCGGGTTGATGTGGCGGTGCGACGTCCAATGGCTGGAGAGGCTCACGCCCTAGAGATCAGCGTCGCGGACCCGCTATCGCTGTCTCCATCACTGCTGGGACAGTGCGGGCGTCAAATAGGTGTGGCGGCAAGGGAATGGGAGCGTCGCAAAACGAGTGACTACGCGCCTCTGCTTGCACGCAACCGGGGCGTGCAGTTCACCCCTTTGATAGTTGAGACGTGGGGGTGTCTCGGCGGTCGTTTTCAGCGGTGGCTTCGTCAGCAGGGGGATGCGCATGTAGGGCTAGCTGTGTCGCGGGGGGCTTGTCGAGAGGACGACTCTGTGTTTTTGGCTTATCTTTTAGGGTCACTGAAGGCGCTCATCGGGGTGGCGTTACAACGTGCGCAAGCCCGTGTCATCCTGCTTCGAGCGGCGTCTTCCATGGGGGGGATTAACGTAGATTTGGCGGATCGGGAGAGGGACGATGTCGATGTGGAAGGCGGGGCTCTCTGGGTGGAGGCCCCGTACATGGTCGATACGTTGATGTGATTGAGGGGGGGGGGGGGATGGGGCGTGGGATGGGATGTCTTGATGGGGTGTCTTGACTGGGCGTTTTGATTGGGTAACTTGAGGGGGGGTTTTATGTGTGTTGCATTTAGGTTCTTTTTGGGAGTTTCATTTTCCTTCTCCCTTTCTTTCTCCATTTCCTTTCTTTTTTTGACAATATCCGCTCCTTGGAATTATCTTCACCATCTTCACCCCTTCTCTTCATCTCTCTAATCTAGCTGAAACCTCTTCCTCGCCACCAAACAAGGTCGATCTTGACGTGGACATTCAGGATTCGTGATGGGTTCGTGCTGATGTTTTATGGAGCACAGCAGATCACAGAGCAAGGGCGTGAGTAAATAAGGGATCGTTCAAAAAGACGGTTGGGATTGCTGTTATTTACAGCCTTATGTTGTGAATTGAACTAAGAGTGCAGAATCAGTTGATAATGAGACTTATTACGAATGCTGTAGATACATTGAAAGTGAGAAACAAATACAATGGATTTCTAGGCGAGAACACCGGGGCAAGCGGGGGTTGGAAAGGTGGCAATTGGTGCGGGGGAGACTCGGAAATGGTTCGGGTTGAAACTGTGGGCCGAACCCAAGTGATGCGAGGGCTTTGGGACATCCCCGCTAAGGGATGTCTACAGAAATGAATTATAATACAGGTCAAAACCCATGAAAGATGACAGACCGTCGTCATTGACGCGAATGGTATGGTGACTACATAATTATACAGGCAAGAGGTAGGCAACTGTAAAGCACCATGAACAGTTGGATATCTATGTGAAACTACAATGGTTTTTGTGTTGTATAGGCTGTAGTGGCGTAATTAGGGTTAGTACTTGTACCACATTTCTTATCAATGCATTCATTCCTGCTCGTTAGTTTTTGACATGGTTTCAGAGCAGTAGGTTAGTAGGACCGTTTTTTTCCGGGCCCACCATTACCTAGTGACCGACTGCGGTTGCCACGTTACTCCACGCCCTGCCCTGCGCTGCGACGTCAGCGCGCGCCCTGCCCTGCCCTGCCTTGCGTCGCGCTGCCCCGCGCACGCCCTGCTCTGCCCCGAGTCGCGCTGTTCCGTGTACGCCCTGCCCTGCTCCGCGTCATGTTGCCCCGCGCACGCCCTACCCTGCCTTGTGTCGCGCTGCCCCGCGCACGCCCTGCCCTGCCCCGCCTCCTGCTGCAGCCCGCGCCCTGCTGCCCTGCGCGTCGCGCCCTGCTGCCCTGCGCATCGCGCTCTGCTGTCCCGCGCGTCGCACTCTGCTGCAGCCCGCGCGTCGTGCTCTGCTGCCCTGCACAGCCCGCGCCCTGCTGCACGCGCTGCCCAGCCCGAGCTGCCCAGCCCAACCCGATCCGCCCTGCTGCTCGTGCCACTTTTGCTGCTGGTGGAGGTGCTGCTAGGAGTGCTGGAGGTGCTGTAGCCTAGCCTCACCGAGCCGCTCTGCTGCTCATACTGCTGCTGCTGCTGCTCGTGCTACTGCCTTCCCTCCGTACTGCCCTACTGGTCGCGCACCTCCTTGCTTGCCCGCTATGACTTCACCTCGTAGTAGCGGTGGGAGTAGTGACGGCGGTGGTGGCAGCAGTGGGGTGGTGGCGGCCGTTATAGCAGTTGCTGTAGAGGTGCTTTGGAACAAGGTGGATATCTTTGCTATAGACAATGACACTATCCTCAGTGCCATGTATGCTTTTACTATTAGTACTCAGGGTGACTGTTACCTGTGTGTGCCGCCCGACCCTAGTACAGCGGCTGCTGCTTTAGGTGCAGGTAAGTCTGCTCTAGGTGCTGGTGAGTCTTCTCTAGGTGTTGGTGAGTCTGCTCTCTCTGAAACTGCGCATGCTGAGGCCTTGCACACCTTCACGCTTGACTCAGGTGCTTCCCGCTGCTTCTTTTGCATCAGCACCACAGTCACACCACTCGCATCATCGGTCGCAGTCTCTCTGGCTGACCCCTCTGGAGGACCGGTTCGTGCAAGTTCCTCCACAGTTCTCCCGTGTCCGGCGTTTCCGTCTGGCTCACTGTCAGGTCTTCACCTCCCCTCGTTCTCTACGAACTTGGTGAGTATCGCCGTCCTTCAGGATGCTTGTGTTGATACCTTTATCCTTGGAGGACAGCGTGTGGTGATCTGCAGGTGTGCACGGACGGGCCGTCACCTCGTCACGTTCACCCGTCGGCCTGGGTCGAGCCTGTAGACACTGGCTACTATGCCTCCTCAGGTAGCTGCGTCTGCGTCCGCGACAGGTCAGCTAGCATCCCCCTGTTCGTTTCGCCTCCTGTCGCACCAGACTCTCCTCTGGCACCACCACCTAGGTCACCCCTCCCTGCCACGCCTCCGTGGCATGCACTCCCGCCTCCTTGTCTCTGGTCTCCCAGGTCCTTGCCTCCCCTCCCACCCTCGCCTGCCCCTACCTCCCTTCTCTGTGTCGAGGGGCGGCAACGCGCCGCTCCTCACTCCTCCTTGTTTCCCCCGACGACTGCTCCCCTGGAGACTCTCCACATGGACGTGTGGGGCCCAGCTCGCGTCTACGGACAGGGCCGCAAGCGATCCTTTTTGCTGGTTGTTGACGACTACTCGCATTACACCACGGTCTTCCCCTTGCGCAGCAAGGGGGAGGTGATGTTTTGATCCCTTGGATCCGCGCTGTCCGTCTCCAGCTCCGCGAGCGGTTTGACACGGACCTTCCTGCCCTGCGTATCCACTCTAACAGAGGTGGTGAGTTCTCCTCCGACCACTTGCGGGAATTTTGTCGTGGGGATGGCATCCTCAAGTCGTTCAGGCTTCCGGTCTCTCCGCAGCAGAATGGGGTTGCTGAGCGCCGTATTGGCTTAGTCATGGAGGTCGCTCGTACCTCCATAATCCATACGGTGGCTCCCCATTTTCTGTGGCCCTTTGCGGTCCGGTATGCTGCGCATCAGCTCAACCTCTGGCCTCGTGTCTCCTTGCTGGAGACCTCGCCTACACTGCGTTGGACGGGAGAGGTTGGCGATGTGTCGGTATTCCGGGCCTGGGGTTGTCGTGCCTTTGTCTGCGATACCTCCGCGGACAAGCTCTCCTCGCGCACCATTCCTGCGTCTTCCTTGGCTTTCCCCCTGACGCGCCTGGCTGGCAGTTTTACCACCCCACCTTGCACCGTGTCCTACCTCTCACGACGTCACGTTCGACGAGTCGGTTCCCTTTTACCGTCTCTTCCCATGCCGCACTGCCCCTCTTCCCCCCCCGCCGCTCTTCCTCGCTCCGAGTCCCCCTACGGTAGACCCCCTCCCCCCTCAGGGTCCTTCTCCTTTAGGTGTGTCTCAGGTAGACCCACTACCCTTGATTGAGCCGGCCGAGGTCACTGGTGACTCTGGTGCTGCTCGGGGTGCTGCGTATGGGGGTGCTGAGCTAGCGGTTGCAGATCTTTAGCGTGTGGAGCCTAAAGGTCCTAAGCCTGAGCGTGCAGAGCCTGGGGGTGCTGAGCCTGCGGATTTGGAGCCTGGGGGTGCTGAGCCTTACCATGCTGAACCTGGGGGTGCTGAGTCTAGGGGTGCTGAGCCTAGGGGTCCTGCGTCTACCCTACGGGAGCCTCTCTTACCATAGCAGCTGCGTGAATGGTTTGTTCGTCGCTGGAGCCTTAGGAGTGGCGCTGCTGGAGCTGAAGGCCCTGAAGCTGCTAGTTATGGAGGTGCTGGAGGTACTGCTGGTACTGGGGGTACTGGGGATGCTGGAGCTACTAGTCCTGGAGGTCCCACTAGTGCCTCGCCCTTGCGGTCTAGCCGGCTGGAGCCTCTCTCACCACAGCAGCTGCGCGAGTGGTACGCTTGGCGTACCCGCCTTCGATGTCGCTCTGCTCGAGCTAGAGACCCTGCCATTGGAGGTGTTGGTGCTGGAGGCACTGGTGCTGCTAGTGCTGGAGGTGATGGTGGTGCTTGCGAAGATTCACTCGACAAAGGTAGTGAGCTAGACTACGGGGGTTGGCACGAACTACTAGGAGTGATCGTAGCTTTGCTTAGTTCCTTAGTGTTTGCGCATTCACGGGAGAAATCGGCAAGAGTTTCCACTAGGCAAAGCCGAAATTACAGAATTGATTAAACAAGCAATAACAACAATGACTACATCAGGCACCTAGCAACCCTGCAGCTAGCCTGGTCGACTGCCAGCACAGCTTGGTCGACAGCCTGCCAACGTTGCGTAGAAGAGCCGCGCCAGCATTGCAGAAGGGCGACCTGCCAACAGAGCAGGTCGACGGCGTACCAACACTGTAGCAGATCGGCTGTCCAGCGTTGCTCCGTAGAACACAACAGCGCGCACGCTCGCAGGTCCACGCAGACGATTGGCCAGACTTGCCTCGTTGGGCATCCGTCGGCTGTTGTCTGCGCCTGACGAGCCACATCGACTTCGGGATACCCACCCGAAGTCGCCTTCTTCATCGCGACCTCGACGACGTTCGCGTGCCTCCGCAGAACTCGTTGAGTAGGTGACCCGGTCGACCTAGTCGACCACCAGGTGCTCCTGGTCGACCACCACTGCCTCTGGTCGACCACCACTGCCCTTGGTTGACCACCCGGTGCCTCTGGTCGTCCATAGCTCCTGTCGAGCTACCCCCTGGTCGACGGCCCCCTTCCGTCGACCAGAATAGTCAGCGGTTGTCGCCGAGCTCCTCTCGTCGACCGCTGCTCACTTGTCAGGTCGACGGACTTCACAGTTGACCTCCCGGTCGAACTGCCCCTCCTGGTCGACGGCTCACCCGTCGCCCAGACTAGTCAGTGGCTGCTGTCGAGCTCCTTCGTCGACAGAAACACCACAGAGGTCCCTTGCAGCTCGACGAAGCCTGTCGAGCAGCTCTCCCACTGTTAACGGTTGGCTGCTACTCCCGTACATCTGACCAAGTCGTTGGCATTGCCCAAGCGAGGGCAGGGCCAACACTCCATTCCCGTTGATAGTGCTGGCACTGCTGGTCCCGGGGGTACTCGTGCTGGTGCTGCTGGAGCTGCCGGAGCTGGTGGTGCTCATAGTGCTG